GGCTGTTCACCGTCCAAACTATTTTCCAATTATGCACAGCTTCCGCTGCTGGACACACACCTTTGTCAAGGCCCAAATATCGACGCCCTTTGCCTTATCATGGTGCCCACATCAAAGTCATGGGGTTTGCGGCCTGTCCAAAGTGTCAGCAGGACATCATCTCCAGTAGCGGCATTGGCCAGCGGTGGCTCCTTAAGTGCTATGAAATCGGGCGTGTGAGTGGGTGGTGCGGGATGTGCGGCTATGGAAATGGGTACGGGCTTATTATGCGTGTCGATAATATTGACAGGGTGTAATTTTGATTGCCACACCCACGCCCTTGATCACGAGAGCCTGTGGAAACTGTCGTGTGACTAATTGCTGCTTAACGACCAATCCGTCTAAGAAGTCTGGATCTGTGACCGGACATTCGGCTAATTTACTAGCAATAAATAAATGCCCTGATTATCTTGTGTATTTTTTATGCGTTCTTTAGTAAGACTTTTTCCTATATTTTCGTTCAACATTAAACAAGAATGCAGACAAATCCTGCTATTTAAGTTTGCATGTTAAGTAAACATTGTTGAAACCAACTTGAGAAGCAAGCGCCTTTAAGCCTTCTTTGTTACTGGCCCGCCCTGCTCCAAGCGGGGGATTAGGAACTGTTGTTGTCGACCGACCCCCCAGTGCATTTTGCTGGGAATAAAATGCACAGACACCAAATTAATTTCCTGTGGTTAGCCCCAGTGGGGAAAGGCCACAATGGAACGGACAACGCTGGGTATGTGTAATGCGTCTCATGTTGCTACCTAGATGGTTAACCCACCTAGACCATGGTGTACAATATACAGCAGAGGCGTAATTAAATTCATCCATTGTTGGATCTTGGAGATAGACCACTAGCCGTAGTCCGGGCTGAGCCGAACTAAGCCGATTGGGTGCCGTTTTCCTGGACTGAAACACGGCGTATACGCAACGAGTAGCTGAAATAATAGCATTAGCCGTCGCAGTAGCTGATTTTTATGCAACATTTTAATTAACTGCAAAGTCGGAGCTCAGATAAGGCTATGACTCTTTAGATTTTCCTTTTGGATTTCTTCAGAAGGGTTTTCTATTAGCCACGAAGTGCTGGTTAACCCCTGGGCATTTTGTAATCTATGCCAGCAATTGACAAACTTATTAAAAGTTTATCTTTATTCCTCTGTTGGCAATACATCAATACATCATCCGAAACATGGTTCATTTGCCTGGGCGAAAAGAAAACTGCGAAAAGTCACAGAACATTAACTTGAACTATGACAAACTTTTGACTTTGACAAAGATGCCAGCAACCGAACCAGCAATCCACCCGGCATCGCATCATCTTTCTCCTAGGGACCACCGACCTAAAGGAGCTGTACTGTTCCGCAGGCGAGACTTTGCCAGCCAAAAGTTTTTCAAAGCTATTTTTGACTGCGGTCAACTAAACACACACAAAGTAGATGGACCCAAAAAGGGCCAAAAGAGCCTGGAAAGGCAAGGGAAACCCCAAACAAAACTGTCGCCAAAGACGAACTTCATCTTGATGCGGTCGGATTCAATTAGATGTTGCCAGACCGAAACCGAAAAGGAAACCTTAACCGAGACCCTGGCTCAATTCAAAATTTAAAGTTATTCTTGGGCGTCAAAAAGTTAACGGCTATGGAAAAACTCAGGGATACCCTTGCAGGTCTAAAGATACTAAAATTAATGTTCTCACTAAGATATGAGTGTGATATATCTTATAAATTTTATATCTTAAAGTTTACAAAATAAAATATGAAAAAATCATGCAGCTTCTTAACAAAGACAAACTTTCTAAAGTATATCATATACCCGAAAAAAGAGTATAAGGCGGCACGTAGGCACTTCGAAAATAAAAGTCAAGTCGGGTTTGATTAGAAGGCGTTTCCAGCTAGCTCCTTGAAGCGGGACAGAACGGCTGACTTAGACATCGGTCAGTTTAGTGTAGGAAGAAGGAAAAAACGCCCAAATTACAGCCACGACAGTGCGGCGACGAGGGCCACTGTGCATTTTGCATTTTGCGACATTTGCATTTGCATGGCCGGCATGGCCACAAACTGGCCCGAGGCAACGTCATCGACAACGCCGTCGTGGCGCATTATTAAAGATGCATAGCTTGAAATATTCAATCAAGTCGACGGCGGTTGGGCGGTGGTGCGGGGGCGGATATAGAGCCACAAAATTGGCAGCGCCATCGTCGGTGTGTTGATTTATGCAACATTGACGTTGACGCTGCAAAGTCACATTTGGTTGTTGGTCGAAAGCTGTTTGGGCCCGGGCTCTAACTCTCCTCCAGTTGGGCTTGGTCTGGTCTGGTCTGGTCTGGTTTGGGCCACAAAAGCAAATATATTGTGGCTATAATACAGAGATAAAAACATAAGAAGATTAAGTATAAAATTTGTTATTTACAATGTAAACAATGTAAAATAATTTCTAAAAAAAATTGTATTTTTTACATATTTACTAGTAAGAAGTTTTTGTAGGTTTTCTTTTACTAACACATCTTTTTCTCAGTGTACTTGTCTATTTTGTGTATGGCACACACACACACTCACATGAGTCTATACATCCTGCAGGCATTCAATTATATTGCATGTTGTATGTTCTATGTTGTATGTTGTATGCGGCTCGCACAGGAGCCCAAGTCGAATGGCTATTTCCAGTCTCACGCCACAAGGAGAAGGACTGAAACTGGACCCAAAGACTTACCGAATGTCACCATGTATGTGTGTGTGTGCGAGTTAATTTGTTATTCAAATTTGTGTGTTATATATTGTTATTACAATGAAAATTGTTGCTGCTCCTGCCCTGGTGGACTGGTCAAGGGGGCAGTTCACTTCCTCTGGCCAACGGGCAATGTAAAGGTTATGGCTATAGCCACATCGACAGGGTCAATAGTTTCGGCTGGCATTGGGAGCGGTTCCTCGTTGGAGACCATCGATTTTATGGTCTCGGCTCTGAATTATTTATCATCTGACAGTGCTCTTTCCATTATTAAACTGAGGATCTTGTTGAAGTTTTAGTGATACATCTAAATAAGTTATTGGAAACTATCAACTCTGGGAATGTTTTTAAATTTAGGGAGTTTACTTTCCGATCATCTTGAAACACATGAAACTTTGCCATAATGTGTTTCTAATCAGCAAACTTAAGTCATTTACGTTTTATTTATGAGATTTCTTTCGTATCAAACATAATTTTCCATTTCTTTTTCAATGATTTGTTTGAAATTAATTCTCCCAATCGTTTTTTAATATCCAATTAATGCTTATCTTTATTCGAATGTCATAGTTGTACAGAACAATTGAATCCATTAATTAGCTCCTCGGGCAAGTGGATCCCCAACTCCCCAATGTCCCATTCATTCACCTTGACACCTCGGGACAACCAGGGGAAAAAAATGTTTGAATTGAAACCGTAGAAAAGTTGAAGGGCCAACAACTATCAGGGATTAAGGCTTAACCGTCTGGTCAAGCGTCTGGCGGGCTTCTCCTCCTCCGGAACTGATTCATTGGGTTTGGTTTTGGGGCTGCTGGTCGTCTAGTCCGGCAAACCTCGAGGGGAATATGCGACGGCTAAGCGGATTAATTTACTGACGTGCTGCTCAATGGGGAAACGGGTAAACGAGTAAGGTAAATTGAAAATAGAAAAAGAAATAGGAGCGAGAAACGTGCAACGAAATCCAATCATAATTATAGAGTCCAACGCCTCGCTCGCAGTCGATGAAATTTACACAACAAAAGGTGGCCGCGACATTTCCAGCTGTCAGCATTAATTAAAATGTTTCCATACATCAACATCGGCCGAGTTCTTACACCTTTTCGTAGGCCCAATCGAAAGACCAGAAAGACCAGAGCGGAAATGTCTTTGGAGAGCAACGGGAATGTAAGAAACACGACTAGAAGCCGACATGGCATAAAGATGTCAAAGCCCCAACGGGTTGGGGATAAGAAGTATCTTTCGGATCGCATGTTTTCTAGAAAATCTCAAAATTTATTTCTGGCCGCAATGCATTTGTCAATGCCATAATTTGTGCTGTTGACTTGCCGACTTTAAAATTGTGTTAATTAATATTTGCCACTCGTAACACTTTTTTTAGCTAATAACCAGGCAGTGCATAAATAAATGGTTAAATCAAATTATTAATGAGGGAAATTACTTTTTTAATCAAATGGTTTTAGATTTTTTCATATAAATTATTCAAGCCAAAGCCATTGTAAATAAACAATAAAGTTGCATTTCCACAAATGTGTTAAAATGAAACCTTTCCACTGCACTTATTGGAAAAGCAGAGGTCGTGTCAAGAGTTGGACAGGTTAAGCGACGAATCGAGACTCCTGTCAATAAATAATTGAAAATCAGAGCCGTCGGCCAAATTGTTGACCATTGTTTTTTGCCACCGTCTCTTTTCGGTGGTAATTAAAAAAGTTTTTCCAAACTGGAAAAATAGAAAGGAATTGCCAATCGACCAGAGCGTTTTTCTTTGCTTTTTTTGGACCGGCTAATTGTCATGCAGAGAAGTGGCACGAGGAACATTTTCCCGGGCTGACGTAATTAAAAAGCCGTCAAGCGAAGTTGGCGCAGTTAGCGCTAAATGTCCAATTGATGCACAGACTCTGGAGCTTAAGTACTGGCTCTCATCCGGTCTGAAACTCTCTAATTAAATAAGCCAGTGTCACATTTGTCTTGAGTGCCCGACAATTTGGTGACTTATGATGACTGCAGAGCAGGACGCGGCAGCAACCGGACCCAGGACCCCATTTTTTGGGTCCCTGCACTTGGACAAAGGCATTGAGGAAGATGAGGAGAAAGATTTATGAGGTAAAAGCAATTAGAAAGTGGCATTAACAACCGAATGCACAGCGCAGAACGATTAATAACCGCTGCAAGCTGCAAAAGCAGTTAAATTTTAGAGTTTATATAAGAAAAATTTTCAATTAAGGACTTACAAAAAAACTCAAAACGGATTTTCACCTTAATTAATTACTAAATTCTTTTTATATTTTTATTAAGTTTACGAGTTTTTAAGCTTTTATATAACCACTATCGATTTTTCAGACTAACACAGGGTTACTTCTTTAAATTCACCATGCTTAGTGGCCGGATCAGAAGATTCGATCTGCTTTACGACTTCAGTCAATATCTCCACTTCATTTTTGATGAAATCCAATATTTTTCCGAATTCCCCTCGACCAGCAAAGAAAGGTATATCTTAAAAAATGTAATAATAATAAATTAATAAAAAATATAAAGTTTAAACTCACCTCGACGACGACACAGAATCCGATTAAGATTGGCAATCGCATCTACTGTGCGTTCCTTGTCCATATAACTATCGTTGATGACGTCCTTGGTGTTAGCCAGAATCTTCTCCCATCTTAGGCACTGGACTCTGGACTCGTTATAGGAGCGTTCGAGCCTGGCTAGATCGTTCTTTAGGCCCAGGACAGTTAAAGCCGCCTCATTAGTGATCTTAACCATTTTCTGCCTCATACTCTCGATCTCTTTCAGTTTTTGATGCTCCAGTTTGTTGATCTCCACTTGAGCCAGCACTGTCATCAAATAGTAATATATTTTATTTTAAATCAAGAATTATAATATAAACCTCACTTAGTGCATCACAGCGATCCATACAGTCCTTTGGGGATACGAATATGTCGGAAACCTTCACCACCTCGTCGAGCACTTTCTCGTAGGGCTGGAACTCCTGGACGGTGGCCTTGAGAGCCTCCCGAAAGGCCTTCAACTCACCAATCGAGTTCTTAAAGCTCTCAATGTCCTCGCCGAGTTCCTTGTGATAGAGGGTTTCCCCTTGGGCTGTCTTATCGGCGACCCTCTTCTTCTCAGCACAATCCTTGATGAAACTGTTAACCTCGATGAAGCGCTTCCTCAGCCGCTCCTGGATCTTGTACATATTGCGCACCCTGGAGGAGTTCACCTTGGTCTGCCGCTTGGCACTGGATAGCATCTCGTCCTGCAACTTGAGCATGGCATTGTGCTCGCGGAGATTATTCACGTATATCAACTCGATGGAATCGCCCGCAGAGTCCGAGTTGGGTGGAATCCTGAAAAGGATATGAATATTTACAACATGAAATGACTAGTTTAAGGACCACAAATTGGATTCCCAACTCACACAAAGAACTTGTTTTGCTGCTTAGAGCAGATGTAGTCGCCCACGGCTTCCTCGGGCCGCAGGTCAAGATTTCCCAGGACATCGAGCTTCTTGGTGGGCTTCACGCGGGGCATCTTGGATCCCTTGACCGGAAACAAAAGCTTCAATTGTAACTTTGGTTTAGTTTTTTTTTTCTTTTTCGTTTGGTTACCGCGTTACTGCGGGCTGTGCGTTTTGTAGGTGCGTGTGCCGTGTGTTTACTTTTCGGAATGTGTTATTGTTTTGTAATAAAAATTAACAAGACCTACTTGGAACATGATTTTTATTTGGTTGACAAGAAAATAACATTAGTTGCCAGGAGGTTCTTCAATCACCTTGGCAATGGTTGTCTAGGAAGGGTTGGGCCTTGTCGATGGCTTAGTAACTGTTGCATCCTTTGATATAAAAATGGGAATCAAACGCATAAGTATATATTAATCAAACATATTAGCATAGATAGCTTAAAGTTAAGTTTAAAAGCATTGACTAAGCTGTCTGCCTTCAGACTGGACATTCAGTAAAACCCCCCCGCTCGCCGACACAACATTGCCCAACAGATAATCCTAAATATCTACTTAAAAATATTCATAAAAAGATTATATTTTAAGATTCCAAGATGCCGCGCCGTAAGCCCACCATAAAGACCGATGTAATCGGAAATTTGGACCTCAACCCAGAGGTGGCCATCGATGACTATCGTGTCTCTCGCCAGCAGGATCAATTCTTCGTGTAAGTTAGAACTAAAATGCTTAACCATTTATGAAATTTATAAAATGTGGATGCCATAGGAAACCTCCCAACTGGGATTCGGCTGGAGATACCATCGAAATGCTGTACATCACCAATCTAAGGGAATACGACGCCATGAAGGATGTTCAGAAGCAACTACTAAAAGATGCCAAACGCCAGACGGCCATGAATGTTCAACGCATCCGTAAGATGTACAAAATTCAAGAGCGTCTGCGCAAACGTTTTGTGGAGATCAATGGGTTCATCAAAGATTGTGCGGATAAGAAGCGGAGTGCTGACAAGTCAATTCGCGAGGAGACCGTCCTTCATGCGGAGGTCACCAACGAGATTGATGAGTTTAAGAAAGCCATTTCAGAGTTGGGCGCCTTTCGCAACGACCTCAAGGCTACGGTGGCTCAGTTTCAGCCCTACGAACAAGTCTTGGAGGAGGTGGTCCAGGTATCTGATATCTTCATCTCGACAAAGGATTGTATCGATCGATGCGATGCCCTTAGTAAGTTTTTTTTTAATATTTTTTTTGTAGAATTTATATATCTAATAGATTTACCCTTTGTAGTGCTTGCCCAGGTGGAAATCACTGAGCTTGAGAATCAGAAACTCCACGAGGTCGAGGTGATGCGCCAGCGAATGGTTCAGATCACCAGCGATGCGGCTCTAACGGTTTTGGGTCTTAAAAATGATTTGGCCAGGCTAGACCGATCCTATGTGAACTCACGAGCCACTTGCCTTAAGTGGGAGAAGATATTGAGTACCTGCAAGGACGCCACATCTAACTACAATCTGGACAAGGAGCGAATGCACGATGGCATACAGATCCTGTATCGCATGCTTTGCAAACGCCGCGGTAAGTCCTTGAAACTATTTTGGCTTACATACAAAATTTAAATAATTCTTCACAGATATTGTGCCCAGCTATCATAGCCATGACATTGATAAAATCTTGACCTTTGCCATGCGCGAAATCAGTCTGCTTTCGTCGGTGCTCCAGGAACTCGACGCCACCAAAGGCGATAAGGTCGGAGCAGGAAATTTGTGCTAATAGATGCATTATTTTTTAAGGCGCATTAATAAAAGTCTTCCTAAAGATGCTTTAAACAAATATTTCCTTTAACTAGACTGAGTCATGAAAGAATTATAAAATGGAAACAAAATGTAACACATAAAGCGTATGACTTGATTTACGTTCTCCAAACTGGGTAGGCTTTATCAGGCATCAAGAGTCCTCACATCGGCAATGAGTGGCTCCATCCTTAACAACTTAAATGGTCGCCCCACCTTCTGCTTTATGTTGGCCATAACAGTTGTCTAACCCTAAAACCTTGCCCTCCCAACAGCTCCCCCCGCCAACAAAAACCCGCAATATTCGGTTGAGCATTGTTGTTGCCTAAGCCCAAAAGCAAATCAAATGAAATTCGATAAAAAGGAAATGCATTTGAAGACAGGGAAGATACCAGAGGCTGGGCTGGGCCAACTTTCAAGTGGCACTCGAACTTCAAATCAAAGAGGGAGGGGAGCGAACCGATGGGCAGGAAAATAAAGTTGGCAAATCGAATCGGCGACATCTTTCCATTCAATTGCCAATTGGATTCTATGGCCCAGGGATAATCTAACTTAAGCACAGATAATTCTTTTATGCGAACATTTTGATTTCTGTCCTCGCATTTACAACAAACGCTGGCCAAATGGAACTACCAACTAATTTTTGTACCGAAAGAACGATAGCCACGCCTTATACCCTACCCTACCCGGATACGAAGTTCGTTCGCCAGCAGAGGCGTGGCACTTGTCTCTTATTCAATTTGCTTTATTTGATTTGCGATTTTTGCTGATATCAGCTGGAAAAGAAAGTCCCAGGACACCCAGGACAGGGCACTCGCTAGGACAGATAGACCTAGGCTAAAAATCAAATCAAATGGAAAGCAAAATAAAATGCAGGGACATTTATTTAGAAAAGGAAAAAAAGTAGTAGAGGAGCTGGAGTGAAAGAAATCAAACTAGTTGGGTAAAATAAACATTTGGTTTATTTAAATGGACCGTATGGACGTCCCACAAGTTGTCCTGGCCGCCGGCTTCGTTTTTCCTACATATATATATATTTGCGGATTCGACTTTTGAGTTGCTCCTCCAGCCAGTTCGATAGCAATTACATTAAATCGCTCATCGGAATGGGGCTGACTCTTAGGCAAATCGTGTAAACACTTAAGATTTGTTGCCTGTCATTTAAATAATTGAAAAATGCATTTAATTTTCGTTGTGATTGAAGTTATTTTGTAGGCAGTTTGAAGATTGAAGTGCTTTGGCATTCTTTTAGGGAAATGAACATCTATCTCGGAAATTATTCAGCTGAATTCCCATCTCATTGTGTCCTGCCAGTATGGACAATAAAGCCTAATGGCATTCTCAGCTAATCCCTTAATTGCATTACAATTAACTGTCTGCGAATTAAATAATATTGCCAGCAATGCGGTGTAGGTGAAATGGGGCCATGCAAATTGCGTGGGTGGTTTGAAAATTTTGGTTGGTAATGTTTTTAGTTTCGTAATAGAGCTTTGTAATGGATGCAAACAGTTTTTGGTCTAATTTGTTGAGAACTTTTCAAATGAATTAAAAGGCTAGAATGGCAATTAAATGTGTGAGAGCTCGTCTGCAATATTCTGGAAAATATGTTTGTAAAGTTTATTGAATTTAAATAGTAAATGGGGATTATACTAACATTATTAAATAATTAAAAAGTGCATTTAATTTTAATGAAAGGTAATTCTAGTAACTATCTTTCGTTCTTCAACAGCTTTATATATCTGAACTTAGAAACTACCTTTCCGCCTTCGCAATTATCCTTTTGGAAAGTTGTGCAGCATCTTGGCGCTTTTGCTGGCATTTGCTTTTTTCTCGCTTACTAGACGAAACACTTAATTTAACTTTACAAGTTCTTAATGTGATGGCCAGACAGGAAAGTTCGGAGACAGCAGGGCGAAAAGGGCTGCCCACTTGTATGGGACACTGGCGACAAATAGCAATTAGAGAAACAATGCCTGGCAAAACGACTGGAAAGCTAGAAAAGGCGGCAGACAAAATAGGCGCAATTAAAGGACACTTTGTTGTTCGAAGGACAACTTAAAGTCAGTTTAAAGTTGCCATGGCTCGGTGGTAAATGCAATAAATGTCAAGCGATTATCCCCGACAACAAAGGCAGGCTCAGCAATCAAAAGGAGCAGCCAGCAGCAGCAGCTTGATTAATACTATAACACATGATTTATTATGCCTGTCAATCGGCGGAGGGGAAGCCCATTATGAAAGCTCGCTTCAGAGATTGAAATCGGAATCGGAATCACAATCGGAATCGTTGTCGGTCTTTGGGTGTCGGAGATGGAGATGGAGCTGGATTTACTGGCGGAGTCGTCGGAGTAACATGGCCTGTGATAAGATGGCAAATCGGCTTATGCCCAGGGACAACAACAATCGGCATCATCAATTCACTTGGCGACATTAATATCCTCTCGGCAAAAGGGACGGGATCCAAAAGCTGTCGTCTGACATTTGTGACACCTGCATTGATTTGTCTTCCTTTTTTGTACCTCGTTGCCATGCACTCGAAGGGTATGATGTACTTGGTGGTAAGAGCAACAGGCAAAAGCACATTTATGCCAACTGAATTAAGGGGTATCATAGGTATTAATAGGTGTATATGGAGAGTATCGAAGTACCTTCAACTTAACCCAAGTTATGGTGGTCTTTAAAACTCCTTACAGACTCCTTTCCCACATTACAGGCTACATTTGAGTCGTAACTCTCATTTCATTCCCTTTATTGTGTCATTGGACTTGGCAGTGGGCGGAGATGAATGCCACCTGCCGCCCCCCAGGTCGCTTGACTGAGTACCTTTCATGTCTTACAAATGCCTTTTTTATGCGCTAATGTTGCTGCGGCTTCTGGCAACTTTAAGTTACCGGAATACCCACCCACCAACCACCCCCTCAATGAGAGCCATTAAGGCCGGGTTCTAATGGCCCGACGACAAGGAGCTGCAATTAGAGCACACTCAAACTGGGGAAGTCAACTACCCGAAAGAGATGAGGCAGACCCAAGGACTTTTTCCTACCTCACATAGTTGATAATTTATTCATTTGCCGGCTGGAACGACAACATTTATGGACCTCTCTGTTTGCCGAAAGTTAACCACACACATGCCAAGACGAAGGAACTGCGAACTACCGAGCAACCCTTAATGGCTTCATTAGAGACCACCCCTTGGATGAGATGGCAAGAAAAAAGCCATCCACCGTTAGGAACTCGAATCGTATTGAAAATTTTTTAATTTTATTCGATCGATGGGCGTCAAAATCAACGGCTTAAATAGTTGTGCAAAATATGTGTTAAACATCTGCGGGATTGTTCCTTAAGTCCCTAACCGACCCTTATTGTTAACAGACCCCTGCTTAAGCCCTAGCAATTTTCCAGGCCATTGTTCGATTTTAAAGACTCTCCGCACAACTGTTGGGAAATTGGAAACGGATGCGGAATTGGAATTGTAAATTTTACACTTATTCAAGCGGCATTTGTTCGGTTTTTATTGAGCCGAATTGTGCTCGGCATATGTCCGTGTGTGTGATTCTGATTGTGTGCCCTCTGCTCCTTGATTACAATTTGCATAAAAATATCGTTGGGATCGAGGGCCTCGAGAATTATGTTGCACATTTATGGGCCCCGAATCAAGCCTTAAAGGAAGCAAGCTCTTGTCTTTTATCGTTTTCCTTTGTTATCAAAGAGGAGGGAAACGAGGGCCACAAGGTAGTCTGTTCGGAAGGGTTTAAGATGGATGACAGCTGAAATTTATTACGCCTAATGATTGTCAGATGTGGGTTAGCCTGTTCCGACCAACAGTTGGGGTAGCAAAATCCAGGGGTGAAGCCAATTTTCTCAGCAACGTATGTTGGATTTTTATCAAAGTTTTTCACTTTGTGACTATTTGTACTCTTCCTGTTTCAGCTACATTGCAGTTTTTTAGTCTTAAATCATCACTTCAACTCGCATTCAAGCTCTCAATTTTGTTTTAAATTCCTGCTCACCAAATACATTTTTATTCGACTTCCATTCTGGGTCATGTCAGAGCCACAATCTTCCTAGACAGATACGAACGACCACCGAGCGCCACTCCAGAACACCAGGTCTCCTGACACCATCATGGTGCCCATACCCTAGAATCCAATCCTGCCACCGTTCGTGGCGTGTAAATATTTATAAATATTGACAGCTTAAAGTGAAGTTTATAAGTGACACGAGGCAGACATGCCACCCCTCAGCCAGCAGCAGGAAAAAGGAAGCTTTTTAGGTAACATCAACAACAACAACACTTGTGGTCAAACTTGAAAGCCTCTTTGATGGTTTTGCTCCTCCCGACTGCCAGGGTTTGGGTAATGAAGTTCGCCACTCGAGGCTGTCAGAAGTGCGTGCGATAGGGATGGATGGATGGGTGGACGGATAGATAGAGGGTCGGTGACTTGGTGAAAATATTGACAAAGCAATTTGCCTGTCAGACAATTAAGTGCTTAATTGTATGAATGTGTGGCTCGTGGTGGGGGCGATGGCGATGGCGTTGGCGGATATACTTTACTTTACAATACAAATGAGAGACAGAGAAGAACCGGAAGTAGCTTAGGTTTAAATCTTCTGTTTGTGCACCCCATCCCCGCCTTCTTCTGGATGATAAACCAATCCAAAGTGACGTGGGATTTATGAGACAGATTCTGTTCTATCTCCAGACAAGTGAAGCAATAATCACAGAGCCATAAATCTCGAGAGCCCTCCTCAGTGGCAAAACGAGTGCCACAGCAAAGGCGGTAATTTTTAATATAATTCAGCTCCAGAGTCAGATATGGCCGGAATGTCGAGCGACCCTTCCTGACACTTTGTCACAAAGCGAAACAACGTCGAGTGTTATGCAAAAATACTCGTATATATCAAGTGTATTATGGCAGGCCAGTCGAGAGTGGTCGAAGGGGGAGAATCTGAGAGGATCTGTGAGGGAAAGTGTTCAGGCTC